GCGGGGACTGCCCGGGCCCGGCCCCGGACGGTGACGTACCGGGCTTTGTGAATCCCAGACTGAAGTTTGGTTGAGTCACAGGAGGGTAAATAAGGATGTTTCGGAGACAAAGAGACTCTTAAAGGGGCAGCGCGAGAGGTGGCGCGTTCCCGCCAGGCCCCTGAGGTGCCTGTGTGGGGTGGGAAATACCCCACAGGGCCCCTGAGGTGACAGGGTGCCTGATGTGACAGGGGAGGCACCCCACAGGGCCCCTAAAGTGACAGGGCACCTGGGGTGACGGAGGTGGGGGGCACTCCACAGGGTCCCTAAAGTGATGGGGGGGCATCCCACAAGGCCTTTGAGATGATGGGGGGCCCCTGAGGTGACGGAGGTGGGCACCACACGGGGCCAGACAGCACTGATGGCTCACAGACAAGGGCCCACGAGCCATACTGGCCTTTGCCAGAGGTCACTCGAAGGCCCCTAGGTCACACGCTCATCGTCACAGTGCAGGAGCCACGAGGGGATGAGGGGATGGAAACGTGTTTTGTCAGAGACAAAGGGACGTCAGCACTGAGGTCGGGGGAGAAGCCTGTCCCCAGCAAGGGACAACCACACTCGGGAGTCTCCCGCACCCACTGGAACAACTCACTTTTTTGCAGCCTGCAGGAGGTACCGTTGGGAACCTGCCAGGGAGCGGTGAGTCCTGCTCTCTGGGCAGCACTGAGCTGGGGCAAAGCCGCAAGCAAGCAGTCGTGGACCGTGCAGCGCTGATGACACGAAGCACAGGTCAGTGGTGTCACAGACACAATTCCTTTGCACAGGGACAAGTGTTTCCCCCCTATCTTGTCCCAGGAAGTTTTGAGGCAAAGCACTGCAATTTACTGCGACAGGTGGGAGCCTGCTTTCTTCTGCCATGGCACAAGGACACTCCACAGCCTTGTGGTCTCCTTCTGAGCTCCGTCACCAGCGAGCCTTCCCACAAATTCCACTTCCTGTGGGTTTTGTCGTCCTTTCTCTACACCTTCCCCTTCTGACCAGTGCCTGGTCTGTTTTGAACACATACCTGCACAGAAATACACAGTCACACACCTCTCAACTCTTCAACAGCTCCCCACTGGAATGAGCCCTCAGTCTATAATGTCTGCTAAGAATTAAAACTGAAGATTAAAAAGGCCCTTATGTCCTCACTCTCTTTGTAAAACTTAGGAGGGTGCCGCTGCTACGTAAGTACTTCCTCATAAAAAATGCCACAGCACAAAACAGAACAAAAGCCCACGGTATCCCCAGGGTGGCAGTGAGACTTGGACTCTCTCTGCCTCTGAAGTGTTGGTGACCCTGGCAACATCACCCAGCCTCTACTTAGAGCTAGGAGGGGGAAAGCTACAACGATGCAAGGGTGAGACCCACGTCTCCAAGATCTCCAGTCCCCTCTAGGTCAGGCTTCAACTCACAGAAAGCAACAACACTACCAGTGATTTTTAAGAGGTGCAGAAGCAGAAAAAAGGATCCAAGGATCCACGCTGGCACAGGACTATACAGCTCAGTGGCCTCTCCCTCTAGATCTTGCATTCTCTGAGAAAACGCTGGGGAGCAACAAGAAAACAACCTTCCAGACCATGCCTTGACAGGCAAAATTAGGGTGGTTTTCAATTACACTGGCTCAATCCATTAATGTAACACAACTGAAAGCCCCCTGAAGACTTGTTAAGATGCAGACTAGCATGTTCGAAGCCACATTAACCTGCCATATTGATGCTGGGGGGCGCTGGAATGAGGATTACTGCAGCTAAGACGACTGAAAAACAGTCATTTTGTCCATCAAGAAAGTAAAAAGTCTCAGAGTAAAAGCAGCCCCTCGTGTGGGGCAGCTGATCTCCTCGTTCACAGAATGCAGTTACAGCAACAGACGTTTTTGCTAAGACATAAAGGGCTAAATCCTACCCACCCTTACACGTATGGAAACCTACTGACGTCAATGGCTGTAATGGTGTAATTGAAGGCAGAATGTAGCTCAAGGGGTCCCACTTTATTACTCTAGGAACAGTACAATGTATTAATAAGAGCACAGAAGTCCCCAGAGATTCCAGCACACATTTTATGTTTTTAAGACATGTGACCAGAGTTTTGACATCTCTGGTTACAGAACGCATCTTTCGGGAATTAATAAAACATTAGCAACATTCAGCATGACTAATCTGATCATTAAAAGGTTTTTTTTTTTAACCTTAAGACCTAAAATGGGAAACAGGACAGAAATAACTATACGCACAAAGACCACAGTTTGTTTTCATAAGTTTTCCGAGCCACACTTAACTACGTGGAATGACAGCAGGTCGGATTCTCACTGAATTTTCATCACTGAAAATTAATAGTCCCACTGAAATCAGTGCACATGTCATGAACTTGAGCTAAGAGTTGCAAAAATTCAGTATATTCAGCATCTTGGAATTTCTAACACGCTTATGGTACATTATGCCATTTATTATGGTTCATTAACCAGATCTTTCTGGACCCAGTGCTGATTAAATTTATTAAATGCCCACACTAAAAGCTCTAGGCACTCTAACAGTTAATTAGGCTTACAGGTACAAATGATAATCACAAAGAAATCATATCAAACTAGTTCTCCACCAGCCAGCAAATCAAGTAACAAAACAACTTCTTTTCCCCCCTTCAGGAGGAAAAATCTATTTAGGAGAAATCTATTTCTGTTTTACTCACTCTTCAGACTCTTCAAGACCCCTGTATTTGCAAGAAACCAACAATATTTTCTGAAGGCAAGACACACACTGCTTCTTCACGAGGAACCCACTGTCCTTACAAATCTCCCTTCCTAAAACCATCCTTAGACCTTCTCTACACCTGCCCTTTATGTCCAGGACACGGGCTGCACAGCTGGAACCTTGCTACACACAGCTTTCCCAGGAACCACGAAGGAAGCTCAGCGCAAAGGTTGGTGGCTGAATGAGGGTGTTTCTGCTTATTCTAAGACCGAGCTGGGAGTGGAGCAGAGAGGAGAAGAAAAAATGCCACCTACAAGCCAGACAGATACTGAACATGTAAAACCGAGGGGACAGATAGCGCAAAAGGGATCTAATTTCCCTGGTTTTCCTGCTGTAAAAATAAATCACCACTAAAAAAAAAAAATATTCCAGTGATATCATATAGTTAAGTCTTATAATAAATTTTTGGTTCTTATTCTCCAAATCCTTCCTTACTCCATTAAATCTGCTGAAGTCACCAGGATTTCTCAAATGAGAAATGGTGTGCAGGGACAGGACATTTACCACCTACCTTTCAGACAATGAGATAAAGCGGTTGGTATTCTCTTTCAATGCATGAGAGGGCTCCTGCCAGGCTTATTTATTTATCATGAGGCTTCATCGGTATCATCTGAGAGGTAGGAGATTTTAATACTCCCATCAGATACAAAAGATGAAGGCAAGTTAAGAACATACTCATAATAGGAATGCAAAAATTCCTGTAGATTTTGCCACAGGGAAATTAGTTTGCTTCAGGGGTATAAAGCTCTTGAACCAAATCAAAGATAAAACTCTGCTGAAGAACTGTCTCCATGCAACAGAAAATTTCAAAAGCTGTAAATAAACGATAGAAAACAGCACAACACTTGCTGTGCAGAAAGACTCCATCTCCTCACAAAATACAGCTTTTTATTTTGATGAAAAGTAACAAGACACTTTCACGTGGATATCTAAAAAAAAAAAAAAAAAAAAAAATCTCTCATGTAGCTGTTTGCAGTCAAGAACACTCTGCCCTTCCATGCATTTGGCTGGAATTTCTCCTTTTCCCTCTTCCCGACGAACAGTAACCCCCCGCATGAAGCACTGTACTAAGAACCATCAGAACCATCTGAGTCCCATCCCAGACACGCTCAAAAACATGAAGGAGGACAACAAGAAATATGCATAGCATTCAAGACCTTTGCTTTGAAACAGAGGAAAGAGATTGAGAAGAAAAAAAACCTTGGGCTGCCTCCAGTGCCACTTTTTGGAGGGACTCCTGATCCACATGGGCAAGGCAAGAGGATGCAGTCGCTCTAAACCGGGCTGCAGGGAGTCCTTTCATCTGATCCCCGCTACAGGCACCTGCTGCTGCTTGCGGATCTTGTTGAACAGCTCCATGTACTGAACCATCGTGTCCGCTGGGCTGTAGATGCTGTCATGCTTGGTGCCAAACACGGACGGGATACCGGGAGTGTGGTTCGCCATGAAGCTCTGCATGAACTCCATGAGCAGGTTCCAGCAGTCGTTGGCTATCACGCAGGGGCAGTACTCCACCTGGCAACAGAAACCACAGCCCTGAAGCTCGCGGCAGGGGCAATAACCACGCAGGAGGCAACGCGCTTTCCTCTCTCTGCCTCACTAGAGAGAGAATGCTTTTCATAAAAACATCTGAGAATATTTAGCGTATAACAAGGATGGACAAATATAAACGAACAGGACATGTTGGGAACATGCAAGAAATCCCTTCAAAAGGAAAGAGGAGGTAAAGTGTACCCTGTAAGGGCATTGCTTTTATTAAATCCCCAATAGCAGGGGTCTTGGGACATTGGTTCAAACGCCACGTTAACTTTACTCCATCCAAAACCAAACTTTATTCCCACATGCTGGTAGGTCGATGACTCGTGTGGCTGTAACATCCTTCAGGAGTGTACTGGGAAAAGCCTTGGGACTTAAGGACTTGAAGCATTTTATTAAATATGAGTCTGGTACCAAATCAGGAGTAGGTCCTAACGCAAACCCTGAAAAAACTACTAAACTAAAACGGAAGCAGCCAGACCACCTGGCAAATCTGGTCTTGAACTCAAGTTTAGGGTAAAACAAGCTTCTGTTTAACCCCAGGTCAATAGCTCACTAACACTACAACATCTGTGTTTGTTGCAGTGAAGAAATAAGCCGTTTCTCAATCCTCATCCCCGCTGGCTAGGAACACTCGCCTGAGTAGATGCAGCATGATTATTAATTGTATATCAGACAACAGGATGTGTGTGTTTAGAAAAATCATAAGCTCTGATTTTGAAGGACTTTTAAGCATCTAATTCTCAGCTACCTCGAATACTGTTAGGGACCAATATATCTAGATGTCTGGAGTCTGACCTACTCTGCTTTGCCCTTCCCATACTAGCACAGCCCAGCTCCTTGTCTTTTTCCGAGATATCTTTTCAGCCCAGCTGAGGCTTGTCCATGGCTTGTGAGCCTTCAACTCATGCCTGCACTCAGCCAACCATCTCCCCAAATGCCTTCCTAGATCCTCCCATGCCCCTTCGCATACGCTGGAGGATCTCCCTTTAGAGTTTGCTTCAGCCCAGCCTCCACCCTCTGAAATGCCTGTCGGCAGCTGGCATCCGATGCTCTCGAGCCTCATCAGCAGTCACGGCACTGAGCGGAGAGCGCGGAAGCGGTTTGATGGCAGGCTTCAAGCCCGCGGTGTACCCCGTGGTGCGGCAATCCAGGTCGGCATGGCATGGGGTAGGACTGACACCTGCCAAAAGCTCTCTGGTGAGGAGAGGACCATTTCTACATCGTGTGAGCAGAACCTGGAGCAGGAGGACCCTGCTCTCCCAGGGCTGCCTCAGCCCAGCCGTTGCCTGCAAGCAAAACCCAAATCAGCATCAAATTAGCAGCTGAAGAGGTTGTTTTGTCCCCCTCGGCATGCTTATTAACCTGAAGGGGCTACTAGTGTTGTGCATCAGGACTTTAAGCAGCTTTTTAGTTTGATGGCATCCCTTTGGGCTTTTGTTTATTGACACTTCAATGACAGGTTTTTCCCTAGCTGCAGCTGAGCCCCAAAGTACCTGCCTGAATTAAACCTTGTTGTGAAAAGAAGATAAATACCCTGCCTGCTGCATACATGAACGCATCTAGTACAAACTACCAGCAACGAGCAATACAATCAAGACACAGAAGGGATGGGGGATTTCTCATCTAGCCTCCAACATGGGATTTCCCTGTCTGTAGTTGTATTTTATACCCTCCAAAGACGATTCTTACCTCGACAGATATCCCACGGGCACTGGGCCCCATTGTAACCGTGCCCACCTTCACCAAGAAGTCACAGTACTGGTAGCGGGTGCCCCGGCTCTCTATCTTGTTTGCCTTGGCATTTTGGAAGAAGCCTTTCAACTTCACCATAAGAATATCAAAGTTGGCATCTGCTATGAGGCAGGGACCGTTTTCAAAGAGAGCGAAGCAGCTGAGGGGATATTCGGAGTTGTGCATCACATACATCAGCTTGCCTGTCTGCCCTGAAATAAGAGCAATGGTATTTGGGCTGTAAAACCAACAGTCCTGCGCTTGTATGTGCTTTAAAGAAAGAAGCACCTGGTTTTTCCTTTGTCCTCCTCAGTTATCTGCATAGGTCACAAAAGCCTTTCCACGCATGTGGCCATGCAAGTTCCAGCTGCAGAAAAAGCAGCAAAAAGCTCCTCTGGTAGCTTCAAACGGATCTGCCCGGGCAAACCGGCTGAGCAGACCCCTGAGGCTGCACGGGCTGGGTGCTGCCCTCTGCAGCCACAGAGCCACCACGGTGATGTTCCCATTAGCGTTTTTTAAAGGATGTGAAAATCCAGGTGTTTAGGAGAAAGAAAGAGAGGCCAGAACAGCCCCTCAAGGTGAGGGGGCCACGCCGTACCTCTGAGCTACCATTTTAGGCTGTGCTATGTCAAGAGGGGACTTGGGGTCCTCCAAGCACATCCCTTGGAAACAGCTGGGTCATCTCACACCTCAGACCCCCGAGAGCTGCTCCCCACCACCCTGGGAGCCGGCACTCCTCTCCGCTGCCACCGCCTGCCCTCCAGCAAGCAGAGCAGGCAGCAGCACGCAGATGCTGCCAGGAGACTTGTGCTCATCCTCTCCAGGGCAAAACGCAGCCTCCAAAAGCAACTCAGAGACAAGGAACACTTAAAAAGCTTCAGAGAAAAATACGCTGACAGCGAAGATACCCGACACGGCTGCTAAGGCTCGAGCGGGAATCCTCCAGGCCGGGCTCCCCCCACGACACGGCCATCCCCAGGGCAGGGCAACGCTGGGAAGGGGAAAACGGCGCTGGTGAGCGGGCAGAACAGCTACAGGGCAGCCCCAGCACACGGCATCGGCCACGGC